ACGGCGGATGATGAACGACGACGTGTCGCCCTGAACAGCAAGCAGAGGTCTAAATATTAAAGCAAGCGATGAGTAGATCACGTCACGTTTGCCTTAACAACAGGTGACATTTCTAATTCGACCCTGACTGAATTAATTGTATCCTTCCGCCATAAGAGCAGCCGGAAGTTGGCCGAGGCAAATGGCTTGCAGTCTGCCGGTGTCCTTGGCCCTTTTTGTGCGTTTTAATAAATTGTGTTTGTCGCATGGCTTGATTAGCGAAAGGGCACGGAAGCAGCAACAGCAACAGGTGCTGGCCGGGCCAGAAAGTCGCTTTAAGTGTAAAGACCGTAATTCCAGCCATTATACAGCTGGTGGGGAAATTATGCCCGTTGAGGTTTAAACGGGCAATCAAAAACAGAACCACACTCGGCTGCGCTCTCCAGTTGGCCGGAATTGTGGCTCCGCTTGCTGATGACAGGTCAAAACCAGGTGGTTTTGCTGACACCGGCACTTAGTGCACCATTGTTGCGACCCACATCTGCAGATTATGTTATGAGCCGCACTCGGGAAATTACGCAGCACAAATTAGCCGGCCACTGATTGTTTGGTCGTGGCAGGCCAGAATACAGATCCCAATGATTTCGCCACAAGGCCCACAAAACTCGTGCAAACAGGCAATGCAAATGTATTGCGTTGGCATGGATTATACGCCAGCAAATATGTTTAATTTATTGCCACTCCAGGAAGTCCATCAGAGGCACTCGATCAGGACGCAGGCAGCGTCCATTTGTTGCCTGCTCAACATGGCCGCTCCGATTGATTGCATAACAATAAATTATGCAACGCACCATGATGCTGCCACTCCTGCTGCTCCACAGCTGCCGTACAGCCATTGCCACTGCCACTTCTGCTCTGCACTGCTCCTCCTTTGGACCGTGGACAGTGTTGATGTTATTGGCGAGTGCAGGTCCTGGCTCCTGGCTCCTGGACAAGGACCAGCAGCCCGCCTGCCATTCACTTTTAAGTTTCAAGTGCTGCTGCGGGTGAGTGCTTTTAATATTCATCTAATGCACTCAACGCGTAGTGTGCCAGCCAATGGGTATTATTCAGGGAATGCCGGAAAGTTTTATACTTGAGTGCCTAACATGTCACCCAAATTAATTCAAATTATTAAATGCATAAAGTAGAATTTACCTTTATGTATGAAAAATTTAATTTCACTATGTTAGTAATAATTTTTTGATTTTCTGGTAAAATAAGGTAGGCTTATCTAAAGCATTTAAAATTCGCTTTGTATGAAGTCATTATTAATGTCCGTATTTCATATCAATGCATCTGTCTTTTAATGAGTCGCAAAATTGTTTTTTTTTTCTTTTCGACCTTTAATTTAAAAATTTCCAAACGATTTTAGTTTAATACATACATATTTTTTTGTAAGAACACATACTATTTAATTTTCTGTAAAAAGTACATTTGCATAATACAGTTGCAGGAAAGGTAAATCAAAGTTTAAATTTGACATTTAATATAAGCCTTACCTAAAAAAAAGTATAGAAAAACTGTTTCCAAAAGAAAAAACATATTTACTTTATTTTATCATGTCTCTTTCCTCTTTACTAAAGTCAAGGCAAGAATCTTTTAATTAATCAAATATCTAAAGCCAACTTAATTATTTTTCAACAAGGGTATCAAAGACCAGTTTGCTGAGATCGAACCGCCTACGCATTCTGCATTAGCTCCGTTTTTCTTTTAGAACCCTTGTTGCACTTGTTGCTGCTGCTGCTGATTTTGGGTTGTTGTTGCATCTGCAGCAGGCAGCTGCTGCAATTGAATCCTGTCCCGCGATGACGGTGCCCAGACGTGTGGGTGCGTTAAGTGAGTGCTGCCACCTGCAGGGTGATGGGCTCTGAGGTGTGCTCAGTGCCCAACTTAGTATGGTAATCATTGATGCGGCAGGAGTCGATGCGGTGCAGCAGCCAGGCAACAGGCAACATTACGCATGCAACTCAGGGGCGCACGTGACGTATGCGCAATATGGGCAGCTCTCACTGCCAAGTTGTTTATGCATTCATTTTATGCATTGACTTTGATTAAGTAGAGCGGTATGCAAAATGCCTCTCTCGATTTGCTCTCGATACGGGGGCGATAAATCCATTTTGTTCGACTATTTGTAATCTCATCGGGAGATTCAATTCGCCCCGCTCCACAAACAAGTTGCACATTGTCTTGGAATGGATCCCTGATTGATTGACTTTGTGCCTCGTCATCTCGGCTTGTTTTCGAATGTCAGCGGCAGACTGTCTGTCTGTCTGTTTGTAGCTCCAGTCGAGAGCAGTGAACCCAGTTGCCCGGAGCTGCGAAGCCAGACAAGTCAGAGAACAGAAGACGTGTCCTTAGCTGCGGTTTTGGCCCCGTCTCTAATTGTGCTAATAAGGCGCTGGTAATTATAATTTAATAACATCTCCGCCTCTGTCGGCTGAAAACCGGCTCGTGTTCGCCATTAGAGTTCTCTGCGTGTGCAATTAACAGCCAGGCAACCAGGAAAGGACGAAGGACGAAGGACTGGCACATAAAAATTGATTTACACCGCCATCAAAAGGGGGCAGAGCCAGCAATTTAATTGTAAGTCAAACATTTGCCGGCGAGTTTATGCAGTTCGGATTTAATTTGATTACACGCCGAGCTGGAGCGCAGGGCAAACATCTTCTGATTGCCTGAATAAGCAATGAGGAAAGTAGCTTTCCCTTTCAATGGGTTGGAGAGGGGAAACGGGGACGAGATCCGGATACGGATCCTTTAGCCCCAACGGGTGCACATGAGCACCGGGCCACTTGTGTATTAATAAACAAATTACGCAATTAATAACACACGCTGAGCGCTCAGCTGGGCGCAAAATGTAACACTTGGTGCATCCTTGGCCGGGCTAAAATTAAGAGCCAGCTGCAGCTGCGAGCTGCGAGTTTATGGCCGCCTGCAAGTTGTGCAGCCATAAATGGCCGAGTGAGTGGCTTCTGGAGAGCGGGCTCCCCGAAAGTGGCTACCAAACCCGCGTCAAGTACCCCGGCTGTTGGCATCGTTTCGAAGGCTTTTCTTTATGGCCCGCATGGAAATTTCAGAGAGAGGTGGAGGGAAACGGAAGTGCAGACGAAAACACTGAGCTGAAAGTGTATAAAAATGTGCCAGCTAGGCATTCTCCCGCCGTTGTCTTGTGCGCTCACTCGGAAAAGCAGACAAAATGTATCTGTGACAGCGCAGCCAGAAATCCAGGATAACCGAGCGAAGCGAGCGAAGGACGACAAACGAATATTTATTACAGGTGTTTGCCTCTTTGACTGACAGAAGGCACAATCTGGCGCATAAGACGCCACTGGGGGGCAATGGGGAAGGGAAGCTTAGTTTTTGGGGCAGAAAAGTTTACCGGAAAAACTCAGGCAGCTGCGGGATGCTCGGCTTTAAGGCGACGGGGCCACACTCCCTTTGTTCGATTGCGCCTGGAAATTGATTTGGCATCGTCAGTGGGTGCGAGTGTCCTTTATCTGGCCAGACGATGGAAATTTTTCAAATCCGATTTGCGGAAAAATAAGGTACGGTACGATACGCAAACCCAACCGGAATTCCTGGAAAATCCTATATCTAGTGCAGAAGGGCTAAAAATAAAAACGAGGCAGGATCCATTGTCTGCTTGTTTTTTCCTAGCAACATGAAGTTTAAAGCGAGGAAGTTAAAAGAGCGGAATTGCATTTTTTACGCATTTCACCTGCGCTGACAGGATGTTCGCGACAACTGGAAAAAGGGGGAAAGGAGTAATGTGGATTGCAAATCCTCGGAAAACCCGGATGCCAAAGTATCTTTTGGATAGGCAGGGGAGATTTATTGACCGCCAGGAAGTGGCTGCTGAAAGCCAAGGAAAGGATATCATCACGAGATGATGGCGGTCATTTCGATTAGAAAGCCCGAGGGTAAATGAGCCGATGGAAGGGGAAACCGGCGGGCTGTTCGTGTGCTAGTGATGTGTAATTAATTTTCGGCAACATCTGTTTATCCTAATTAGAGGCGATCCAAACACACATGCCCAGGAAAATGGGGGCGTGGCACGAGGCGTTCTCTTACCATTTGTCATTATTACTGGGCCAGACCGAAAGGTCAGAGAGATAAAAGTTTGGATGTGAGTCGATTAAACGGGCAGGAATCAAGTGAATAATGGCCAGAACAACTCTTGCATGGTAAATGCCTCCTCTTCCCTTCTCTCCAAAACTCAACCGCATTTCTATGGGAGCTCGTAATGAGCCTGAAATCGAAAAATCGGCCATTGGCGGAATTGTAAGCCGAAAACTTGGCTGGGAATCGTAAAAAATGTCAGGGCGCAATCAACGCCTCGCAGCTCTAATGGAAAATTGGACAAATTGAAGTCGAGCAACTTTGTCGTAAAATGAAATTGCTAGAAAAATCAACGAATGGTATAATCAGAATAAGGCTGAGCGGATGGCCCATCAAACAGAAAAAAAAGGGGAAAGTGTGTGTGTCCTTTTTGCTGGCAACCATCCTTTTGACTGCCTCGAATTTGCCAATTTATTATGCGTGCCTTCTTTTATTTGGCCGTCTGTTTGACTGGTCGACTGTCTGGCCAAAAGGTTAACAAGCCAGAAAGCGTCGCAAATCAAAGGGAATTTCGGCTTGCTGCAGGCGAATGCAGATTAAGGGAATCAAGAGCTTATAATTGATCAGATATTTTTCTTCCCAAAGGAACAGAAAAACTCGCATGAGATTTTTTTGCTCAAGCGACTGTTGCGCATTGTTGTGAAAATTCGGTTCTAATAGAGCGCCGTTTCATTTGCCAAAACATTCGTTGTTTCAACTCAGAGTTCCGCGTTCCGTTCCATTCGTTTTTTGAATGGCCTGTGGGCTAACTGGTGGCGTAGAATACATCCCTTTAACGGACTGACGCACCCGACGATGCAACATTCCCCTTATTCTACCATGTGTAGGCCAACTGCTGGCATAGAAAATTCAGTTAGTGTTGAAAATTCTGCCGCGTCGGTTGTGCTAATTCGCACGAGCGGAGAAAACTTGGCTAACGGTTCTTCGCCGACGGCACATAACGGTAGATAGCAGTGTTTGAGTGGGTGCAATCGGTGGATATTGTGTGTGTGTGTGATTTTGTGTGCTTGTGTGCGCTGCCGAAGAGCCGAGTGCTCGTGATCGCAAAAACAGCTGCTTCCACCATTTTGCAATTTCAGTTCCTGTTGAATTCCCGATCGAAGCGAAAGGATATTAGCCAGTTATATTAATATTTACCATAATTGATAACCGAAAAACTAAAGCTCCAAGCAGCTACGTGCTTTTTGGCAACAAAAAAAACAAAATTTATTATATTCGCAAAAAGCGCGACGACGAGTGAGTGCATTCATTATGAATTCGCGAGTGTGAGACGAGTGTGAATGTGATTTATGTGATTTTGTTGGGTTTTCTTCAGCGGCGTGCTTGCTTGCTAATCAAATTGCTGGCTTTCGTTTCGTAATTTCACTCATTAACAAACAATTTTCCCTTCTGTCGCCGAAAACAAACACAGCATTGACAAACTGCAATTTTCATAATTGTCCCGCTGTCACATATGCAAAAATAAACAATTCTGTTTATAGATGCCCGAACATCATGATGTCAGCCAGCCGATTTGAATTTCTTTCGCCGCAGTGTCCGCTTTGTTTGAGCAATGACAGCAAATAATTGTTTTGCCATAAATTGCCAGTGCAATGTTGCCGCTCTATGCAATTAACAAATAAAACATATTTCAATCATATTCTAGCGCAAACAAACTATTAATTTCACAAAAACACGGCTCAGTAACGCCCATTCGATGAGATCGACGGAAAACTGAGAACTGAAAACCAAATATCGAGTGCTGAGTACGGAGATTTTAGGCAAAGTGCGTGCAATTATTCAACGCATGACAACCAATTAATTGGCAAAAGAGCGCGAGAGCAAACACAACCCGCGGCAACAAATCGAGAGACCCCCAGAAAATCTATAACCATCTGGGGAGCCGGTTAACGCCTGCCAGTGCATCGGAAAAACAACAACAAGCAGAGCGGTGCAGCAACAACTTGACCGCTTTTCCAAGCGATTTGGCGACGGCAGCTTGCTAATCTCGCCCAGAAAACTCCGCTCACAATCGCCATCAAAATAACGATGATTTATGCAGGTGAGTCTGCTCGAGTTAAATGCAATTTTCGAATTTAGAAACAGTCAAGCTTAAGTTGAGATAATTAAAGGCTGTAATATATAGACGAAATATATATATTTGAATATATAAACTAAATGAGTAAGTTCACTAGGCAAGTTGAGGTAACAGACAAAAAAAAAGAGTGCATTTAATAATAACAAGCAAGCTAAGGTAACAGGAAATAAAAAATGTACATTTAAAAATATAACTTAAAGTTTTTACTTCAAATAATCACTAGCTTATTAAAGTATTGAGTTGTTAACTTTTTATTACCCCAATAATAACAGTCTTAACACAATAAAAATCAATCATTATCATAATAGAATAATTTTCTTTAATTGTAAAAAAAAATGTAAATAGTAGTTTGGCTTATTAAAATTAAAGAAAGTTTTGTTTAACTTTTTTGTCCATAACATATTATTGTAAAATGTGTATTTTAAACAGTCTCCCTAAAAACCTTTCAATACCTATGAGTTTTAGTGAAAACTTTAAAATTGTTTTGTTTTTGTAATTTATGGCGAACACTCAGTAAACGTTGAACCTTTGTTGTATCCATGCAAATGTGATTCGGATGGGGGGATTACCGCATTTGTGATTACTACACCCCAGTTATGCATTCGTACCAGCAGAATTCCCAGAGCTACGGATTGGGCATTGAAAAAAGCATTAGTGCCAAACGGAACGGGCTATAAATCCGTAGAGTCAGTTAATTGCAAACCCATATCAACGGCCACGAAGGCGACGACGCAATTAGCAGCAGGGGAAAGGGGAAAGGGGAGAGGGGAGAGGCGCGTGGCATACAAATTGCGAGGCGAAACGGAAAGCGAAGCGAATTCGAAAATTCGTCAAGTGTTTTGTGCATTTTTGCGGGCTTTTTTCGCACAGAGCTTAGCACGTGCCCGTCCGCCTTCGGTTACAGATTCTGTTTATTCACTTTCGGTAGCCTAATTAACTAAATTGGCTGGCCTGTTGACAATGGAAACCGAAGTGCGACCGTCGCAGCACTTGGCCCGAGTTCCTCCTTCTTCTGCCACCCATCTTGCCATCCTGCCATCTTTCCATTTGCCATCGTGCCATCTTGCCACTTCCTGCGCCGAGTGTGAAGCTCAGCAGACACAAAGGCCGGCTGACAGGTGAAATGGGGGCAAACAATGGAAGTTGTTTTGACAGGGCCCACACAATGGCCCGACCGGCCCAATAATACGGTCCGACAGAGAGACGAACGGACAAACGGATGGACAGACGGACGGACGGGTTGCCGTTGCCATTGCCGGCCAAAATGAACGAAGCGACGGGGAAATGTAGTAATAAATTAGGTTTTTAAATGTATCCCCATTTATTTCAACTTAAAGTGTGAAAACCCAAGTCGGGCTGACTTTTATTTAGTGACACTCAAACAGACATCCCCTATATGCGGCCAAAGTCACGATTCTCCGACATTAATTACCTCGCTTGCCCAAAACCAAAGCTTTTACTGATAATGTGCCTGAATAATAGTTGCCCGAGTTTTCCATGCTCTTTGCTCAAATATTTGCTGTTATATAAAGTCAATAACAAAATATTTTAAATACGAAAAAATATAATATATAGGTGTATTTATGAAAAGCTCTTAACATTTTGATTTGTTTTATAAATCAGTTTTTCAAGTTCGAAAAGATAAGTATGATATAGAAGAATTATTAAAATTAAAAAAAAAAAGTTTTACCAAAAAAAATAAAGAAATCTTAATAGGTTTTTGAGGCTTATATTTTGTTTAATATTCAACTAACTTAACGATTAATGGCTTTTATTGTTTACTTAACAACAAAGAAGCAATAAAATGGAATAATGAATGATTTAAGACAATTGTACACAAAAGCTTAGAAGCCAAATATTTTTTCGTAAGCTGAAAGCACGTTTCGGCCAATGTCCAGCTCGGCAGCTTGGGAAATCTTCACGCCTGGACGGCGGCGAAAACGGGGAACTCCGAGTGGCAACAAAGTTGCCTCAAACATAATTCTGTGCTGTGTGCAGCGCCCTGTGAAGGCATTCAAATTGCTTCCTAGTCCAGCTGGAACAACAATGGCCAGCTACGTGCATAAGCCACCGAAACCTGAGATTCTTTAGCCCTGTCGAACACAAAAGAGCGTCAACATAGAATTGTGCAACCAGCGGAGCAAATGACTTGCCACTCGGCCCGAGGGTGAAACTTTCCAACAAAGGGGGGCCAAGTTCTGGTGAAGGGGGAAAGGGAGGGAAGCCCACACGTACTTGGAAATAAAACAAACCAAACCAGTTGAAATATATTAATGGGGCGGGCATGAAATTGTTTTAGGTGTTCGCTGCCGCTGCGAGTGTGTTGGCATTAAACTTGGCATTAAATAACAATAACCCGGCAATAAAGCGGGGGGAAAATGTGCAGGAGGAACCCTTTCACTTTCGCTTTCGCCTTCGGTCCCCTGCTGTTTTCCTTTTTGTTGCCCTTTTTTTTTCTTGCCACTTTGCCGCTTTATTGCGAATCTCTCACCTCGCGACCTGCTGCCTGGCGCACGCGGCGTATGCGTAACGAGTTTCATGTAAGAACAGACAGAAGACAGGAAAACAATGGCAAACACACGATATTGCGTATACGGCGTGTGGGCCAGAAACCGGGAACCTGCCAAAAAAAACGAAGAAATTCGGTAAGAGCGTGCGAGTCTCAGAAAAAAGAAGTATCTGCTTAATGTATTTAACACTCAAAGAGCACTTTTTATGACGCCCCCACGAAATGTTTTCGCCTTCTTATTTCATTCGGCTCCTTTGGGGCGAAGATTGTGTTTCTTTTTTTTTTTTGTTGCTTAGGTGGGAAGGCAATCGAATTTCCCACGGCCAAATCTCGTAAAAGTTTTGATTGACACGCAGTGGCCTGCAAATTAACAGCTCATTGCAATGCAGCCACAAAGTTGAGGGCGAAAGCCAAATGAAGCATGAAGAGCCACTGGCCAAGAGCAACTGGAACGGAAATGAGTTCACTGCTCGTGGCGGGCTTAGCTCTTGAAAAATCACCTAATTCATTTAAATAAGCAAGAAGGAGTCGTCGCCAAAAGCGAAAGCGGGCTAAGTCCATTTGCCGAAAAGGACTTTGGACGTCGCTCCTTGAAAGTCTTGACTTTTATCTGCAGATGTTCGATGCCAAGGGGAAGCGAGGAGCCAAAGAGCCGAAGAAGCGAAGAGTCGTCGAGTCGACAAACTAATTTAAAAATCCACTTGCTAAGCGCTTCCCACCTCCTAGCTGCATGGTCCATCGACTGAAGAGGACATTCTCTGGGGGCTAGGCTATTTATTTTTTCATTCCCTGCCTTTTATGATGATTTTGCACTGCGTGGAAATAGTAGAGCAAACATTTTAGCCCCCAAGTGTTTAAATATAAAGCGGAAATGAGCTTTACTCCGGGTCCTTCTGCGCTCCCCCTCCACTTTTCCGCTTTTCCACGACGATTCAGTCGGTCAGCGACGTGCCAAATGAACTGGGTTGCCGCAACGAACGAACTTTCACGAATAGCAACTCGACTTGGCTGACTTACCGAGTAGTATATATATGTAAATGCTAATTAATGACTGCAACTTTCTTCGCCAGACACTTTTGAATTAATTGCACACCTCCACGAGTCGCCGGAATTGCCATCCGAGAGTCGTGCGAAGTGGCAGACAAGCAGACACGAGCCATGTTTGGGATTCCTACGCCCGGCCACGCCCAAGCAATATCACAGATAAGGCCGCATTTGATTTGCGATTGCATCGAATGCAAAACAAACTCATTTCTGAGTTCGCCAGAGAGCGGAGCAATTTATGGATTTGATTTCAATTGTTTTGTCATGTTGATTGGCAGCCCGAATTGGCAACAACTCATAGTTTGGCAGCTCTGGCAGCTTTGGCAGCTAGCTATCTGTTCGATGTCAATGGCAGATGATTTTCCCCCGATTCTCAATGCTCGATTAGTCAGTGACGAACTTTAACCCCGCCACGGCTACGGAATCGAATAAACTGAAAACCAAATTGGTTTCCTGGGTGTGTGTGGCTATGTAATTAATCTAATTTGCAGTCTGCCTTCGGGCTTTTGTGCGTCGTTTGCCACGTTTGCTACGTGCGTGTTGACAAAAGTCGAATCGAATGCCAATCAATGGACTCCTGCAGCTGTTCATGCATACAGCACAGTGACATTCATTAGTTAATTGATCAAGCGTGGCGAAATGGGGAATTCTTCGGGTTTCCAGCCCATTCAGAATGATTTTTCAACAGCTTTTTTTTGGTGCAACGGGCTCAGCTTTTGGCAGGGAAATTCTTTTATGGCCGCATAAAATCCAAACACAAATTATTTCGCACATAAAAAGCAAAGCGGCGAGAAGCGAAAATACAAATGTGTAGAAACAGAAACGACCGACGAGCATAATGCCACATAGACAGTTGGAAGCCGACATAGACAGAATCCGGCTGAAAGGAAAAGTTTTCAGCTTACATCTGTATGTATGTGTATAAAGTCCTGCCCTGCACAATATATATACATACATATATACACAAGGCAGGACGATTCCGGCGAGAGTGTGTGCAAACAGAGAAGCAAAGTGCCCAAAGCGTTTTCACAGTCAATTTTGTATGTAAAGGCAAGACAGGACAACGCCTGACATTTGTACTGAGAGGGAAAGAGAGGGAAAAGGAGGGAGTGAAAGGGGGTTTGAAATCGGGGAAGGGTTTTGGCTTAGTGTAAATTTTTATATTTCCTTGTGCATGGCACATAAAACCCTTTGTTGGCCGAGCTGCATGTGTGGGAGGGTTTGTGTACATTTAGGACGGCAATGAGCATGAAAGCCATTAACTACTTACACAAGAATGTGTACGATTTTGCAGCAGCCCGGGAATACTAATACGCTTAGCGTCTTGCTGCCAAAGCGATCAAGCTGTAGAAATGCAAGGAAATCTTGTACAAAAGGACATTGTCTTTAGAGAAAATTGCACACATTTTCCAAATAATTGGATACAATTGTATAAAACTGAATTCAATTGAATTTACGAAACATTCTTCGTACATATTCTTAATAAATGGGTCAGCTTCTATGTAAATATTATTGAAGGCATTGAATAATAGACAGCTTACTAGTACTAGTACTATGAATAGGAGATTTTTCTCAAGGAAAAAAATATAAATACTATGTTATATGTGTATATTCACTTTCATTAATGAGTTGAATAACAAAACCTAAGAGAGGCAACTAATTAAATCTTCAACAATGTGTTACCAACAATTAAAGGTAAAGTTCTCTTCCCAAGATAACCACAGATTACCAAATTTAATAACCCTTAGAGGTGTATAAACCGCTCTGATTTATTAGTTTGTCGCCCAAAAATAGCGGTGTATAAATACTCCCACCGAATTAACAATAATCCTATTTGGCAAACACAAACTTTGCATAAAGCAAACAAGTCGGCGGAGGCGCAGGCGAACCCAGTCCAGATGTTGGCCGTTGTTTTGCCACTTTTACCTCAGCAGTGGCACAATGAATGGCTGTGTACAATGGGGAAAAACGAATGCAAACACGTACACAAATGAACGCGGACAAAAAGGAAACGCGAGGCGGAGGCAAATGTAATGACACTTAAGTGGCCCTGAATCTCAATCTCTTTGCAGTCCAGTGATTTCGCCTTGTCGCACTTGGCAACTCGGCAACTCGGTAACTCGGCGGACTTGGCCAACTCGGCGATGGATGACGTATGTAGATGTCGGTTATCGTTGCCACTGCTCTTTATGTTTTCCCTGCTATTTTGTTTGTACGACCATCTAGGGCATCATTATCGAGTTGAACCATCTGAACCACTTCAAACCTTTATTACTATGCTAATACTAAGGTCTGGACATATTAAATTCATATTTACCGAGTCATTGTGTGATTTATTCAGGGGGCTGGCTATTCTCAGAAATTCCTTTTCGGGAGTTCGTCGTTGGCTTTAGCAATTCATTTAATTTATCCTCTTGGATTGCCTTGTGTTTGCTCAAGGTAATGAGATTCTGTTGTTAAACACTCCTCACCTTTCCTTCCTGGAATCCGCCTCTTCCCACTTTGCACATTAATCTTTTTAGCCGAATTAACCCTTTCGTGTCTGCCGGCTTGTGAACCACTTTTTCTGACGTATTCGGCAGGCAACTAATTAGTTTGCCGGGCCACCGAATTGTGTATGCAACGCACGCTTTTCCCACTAATTCGACGGAAGTCACTCGCTCTCGGGCCAAGTATTATGTAAAAGTTCCTGCACATGGCAGCCATCTGCGAGTGCGGTGCACATTTCCATCCCAAAGCCGGTGAGTTAATTTAATTTAGCGTAGCCGAGCATAAACGAGATCAGTGCATGATGGGCTCAACGTTTCAGTCAGTGCATAATGCCATAATGGCGCACAAAGAGCCCTGTTAAATTTTCATTCCATTTAATCCCACGGAGATATTTTAAAATGAATCAATGCTCTCGTGTTGGGCGGCCATAAGGCAAATGTGAATATATTTATTAATAGGTGTCCTGTTCTGGGTTCCTGGGTGTGTCGTCCAGGTGACTGAATGGAAATTAGCCCGGCCTAAGGGAAGCGAATGCTGAATGTCATTAAATACAAATTATGGTTATTAGCAGACTTTTTTCGAAGGCAAGGCCCTCTGACAATGATTTGACCTTAGGGGCCGAAACGGGACTCGAAATTTAAATGACGCATTCGACTGCTATATTCGCATACGGCTGCTTGACCAGAATGATTTGGGGTATTTCTGGAACGTGGTCTTATTAAAATATCCACGTTTAATATGCGCGAAGGCGCCGGAGTTTTCCAACTTGGTCGCACCCATGGCTTACTTAATGTTTACAATGTTGACAGCCGTGTCGGTTCGATTCGGTTTGGTTCAGTTGCCACGGTCAAGGGACACGCTCAAGTTATTAAACATTGATTACCTATCGATTTTATCCTTGTTTTTGTTACATTCCCACGCCGATTTCGAGCCCCTTTTGTAGCGAAAAGTGGGAGAAAGTAGAAGACGGCTGCAAATGCAAATTACCTGTGAAATGCAATTTCTCATCTTTTCACAGTTGCGGCAACGCAGTTTGACATTTAATTTTCGGAGCCGAGGAAAAGGCCATCTGGAAATTCTCCTGTCAAGCTGACAGCCTGTGAAATGCGAGAAATGGAATAAATTCAGGGCGCAAAAGTGCAAGAAGTTTTGCGAAAGGGCCAAATTAATCAGGGCTTTAAGGATCAGCAAGGCTGAAACTGCATTCAACAGCATCCAGACAACTTGCAGCGGTTCACTCAATCAAAATTGAGTTACTTCTCAGTTTTTGTTGGCAACTTATTTGTTTATTTATTTTCCGCATAACTTCTCGACGAAAGGCAGGCTGCTAAAAAACTTTTTCTGCTCCGGCACAGTCTCCTGCGAAAGTTTTCCTTCAGGCAATTAGTAAATTCTGATAGCTTTTGTCAGCTGAAATGTTTGCGGGAATACCGATTGGATTTATTGATTGTCATCTAAGTGCAGCTTGTAGAACTTTAGCCAAACAAAAGCCAAACTGCCCCCGAATGACTTGAACTATCTGCAGATTTAACAGCTTTACAATCTGTGGCAACGTGACATTTACGCAGAGAGTGTGCTGCATGCAGCAATTGGCAGCTCGAAATTGCTCTTGATAACTTTCCAAGCTCACACGAACAAACTGGCAAGGCTGCCATAAATTCTGACTCCTGACTTGTTGAACCATATATTATTATTGATAAAAAACTTCTGATATATATTGCCACTGATTGAATGCTGTTTTTTCAGCTGTTTCTTGCAGCTCGTGTGCAGCATCCCACGGCGGTCGCAAATAATTGACATCAGAGTGTTTGCTGACCAAACATTTGATATGTAAACCGGGGGGTCGAGTAAACAAAGGTGTAAACAGCGATATTGCACCCACGACTCGACTCGGTTCGGGGCACATATTGACACTGACAACCCGGAACTCTGCGGTTCCGGATGGAGACAACCTGCGGGTGCCGGAGCCCACGAGACGCACTGGGATCAACTGGAGCGACGGCATCGGCAAAGGCATCGTTACTGGTATCGTTGTTGGTATCGCTATTGGCACCGGCATCGGCCAGCGGTTGCCAGGCCAAACAGCAGCCACCACATCAACAACATGGCCATAAAGCAACAGCACCCAGCGAGCTGTAATTCATGGTTGCAACTACCCAACGAACTGCTGATATTGGTGAGTTAACGAACCCCTAACGATATTTCCCATGGGTGTCTATTTCTGGCTTCTCTGTGAAAGTTTCTCCGGCCTTTCTGTAATTTTCACTTTAAATTAGTAGGGGAGAAATTGTTGCCAATAAATTGCATACCGGAAGCTTTCTTAATCATTGATTGCTGGTAATTGAAATTGCTTGACAAAGTTTCCCTAACTAAGCTGAAAGAATAAAATATCTACCAAGCTAATTGGATCTCTATTAAAAACTTATAACATTTAATCAAAACAACTTAAATGTATAGAAACCAATTTCAAGTAGTAAGCTTTTAATAGAATATTTATTTGGTTACCTAATATGTTTCCCTTGAATAGATTTCAATACTACTTGTCCGCTTTCATGGTCGCTTTTATTGTAGCTAAAAAACAAATATGTTTCATTAAGTTATTTGAATTTTAAGAGTTCATATAGAACTTTTTTTTCAGATATGCTATAAACTATCGCAAAAGCAAATGTTATTCAAATATAAATTCAAGATTAAATTATAAAAATCACGACAGGCCTCACGTCTTTTAGAAGCGTGGAGCGCCGCAATTTCTGTTTTGATTTCCATCAAGAGTTACTTTCCAGCGAGGATTCCTTCTCCTGCGTGTATCTTGATTGTCCTGACAACTTACGCAAACAACAATCAATCAAACAATTTGCCTGCGACTCTATTTGCCCAAAGGACTTGTGAGGAATGGAATGGAATGCATGTCGCGCACAATTAGTTAAGCTGGTTGTAGAAGCAAAACTTGTGCTGTGCGTTAAAAATTTAGTTGGCAACATTTCCTGTTATTATTTCCGCTACTGCTTGCCTTTGTGGCAAAGTGGCACGCACGTCCTGCCACGCCCCCAATGGGCTTCATCAGTGAGCATGGGTGTGTGTGTGAGTAAGAGTGTGTGCGTTTCAGAGAATAAGAAGAAGGAGAAGGAGGGAACTGTGCCAGTGCCAGTGACAGTTGTAGGCACGTCCTAGTTGTGTGGCCATGGCTGTTGTTGCTGCAGTTGCACTTGCAGCTGCTGCTGCACAGCAACTGTCAGTTGCACATTTCGCCGACGGCGATGGCGGTGGCAAATTCGTCCCTCCATCCTGCCACATCCACGTGAATGTTGCAATCAACTCTGACATGCTGATGTGTGTGCGCCCGACATTGATTATCTTGCAGTTGTCTGTTTGCCTAGCTGCTGTTGCAGTTACCGTTGGCCAAATGGGCGACCATAAATCCAATGAATGTATACTCCTATGCTATACACTCGTATATGTGTCTAGGACCCCGGGACACTTTTATGTGTCTGCGACAGATGCTCGTAAAGCTGCGTGAGTTCCGCGCTCACGTTCCCTCGTAAAAAGGCCGGGAAAAGTGAAAAAGCTTTGGGGATCTGCTAATGGCCACACTACTCAGCATTATCGGCCGGGCGAGCCATTAATTAAATTCTAATTACTTCAAGTAATTTTCATAATAAATCAGCTCCTCGAAACCCAAAGCAAGAGGGGAATTCAGCACTCCAGAGGTTCTTAACAAGACCACTTCACATTTCACTTGAGCAGCTCACAAATCTCGGCTTAGGAACAAAGCCAACGAACACATCGAGAGGCTTTCAGCTTTCGGCTGTCATTTGCATTTGATTTCCAACTACGTAATTGTGCGACGACAAGGGATTTCCACAGCCTACAGCCTACAATTTTCCACCCCCTTTGGATAGTTTTGGCATATTAAAGTTCAGCCTCTATTTGGCCAAAATGGTGGAGCCTCTATGTTCGGGCGCCATTCGCGCGCAATTATCGGAATTAAATTAAAAGTTTTTGCGGGTTCTGTCGTCGGGCAATTGCAGTTGGCAGAAGCCAGCAGGCCGCAAAATTGTTTTATCTGCACGGCAGTTGCCTCTGCGGCTGGTTAATGGTCCGTTTTCCGGCTCTGTGGCCACTGGGTTTTGTTGCGAACATTCGCGTTTTAATTCAACTCATTTAGCGGTGGAGCAACGCTTCCGCTAATTGGTGGCAACTTGATTTTACGCCACGAATGTTGCGGCATTGTTGTCCCCTAATTTTCCGTACAGAGCTCATCATGCTGATGCACTTATTGAAATACCCAGTTCATACGAAAAGTGAACAAAATGTCGGAAAGTGTAAAAATAAATTGTGTTTTTTCCACCTTAAATCAATTTTGCTGCAATTGGAGCGAAAGTTTTAATTTATGCTCTGAACAATCAGATTCTGTCATTGCCTTGTTGCTTAATCAACTTGTTGCATGCTCCTGGCACCTTGCAATTTATTTCTCAGCTTACTTTTCAGAAATCTGATTTGCTGCAATTTCTCCTGTGGTTTTATTTTCTTTGCCTGTGCTTTTAATTTCCTCTCTAGCCTTCTAGCACGCAAATTGAATTCGGGTTACTTTCCACTTTTTGGGGGAGAGGTGATGTGCATTTATAAAACTTCACTCCCATTTTCGAGTCATAGTGAGTGTAATTTAATATTTATATTGCTATAATGGAATTTTGAGCTTAATTTGTATGCAGAAGCCCTGCCAGCAAACTGTCTTTATTGTTTTCACTTAAAATTCCTTGTTGAGAAGTGAATAAATGTTGCTGCCAGAACGATACAAAATACATTTACACTTTTTTCTAGGTGTAGGTTTTCAATGAGAAAATTACTTATGTAATACATGCCATATTTACAGAAAAATGTATACGTTCAATATTTATCTTGACTGCCCATTATGCTTCACTTTTTGCTACATCCACATCCTGATTGCTGGGGTCCAAAAAAAGAAAGTTAAAGGAAGCAATCAATTTAAGAAAGCAAAAACTTTGGAACTGCTAAACAAATAAAGCATGTAGACCTTCCCCACCACATGAAAAATATAAGATTTAAAAAGTTACTTTTATACAAAACGAGTCATTAAAAGCATGAAAATGAGTAAGAAGCTGTAATTTGCATCTTCATGTATGATTCACGGAAATGTATTTAAACTTTTTTACGCCTTTTGACATTTTCATTTTGTCTAAAGAACTCTGCTAACTTTTTAATGCTGCGGTAATTAAATTTAATTTGCATCAAAGCGCCACCCTGGGCTCCTACACATTTAATACTTCCTCTTTATGTCCCCGTCAACTAGGCGTATGCGTAATGGAAAAAAGTGTTGCATCAGCAATATGATTTTAATGATACTCTTTAATTAGGTTAAGCCAATGTAAATCAGGGTACTTTCAGACTGTAAAGAAGCATAATAATTGTTACGTCCCACATTTTTTAATAACATATTGTTATAAATTAAATTACAAACCTGCTGCTGTTTTTTACTCAATTTCCACAGCGACTCATTTAGCAAGGGTATCGCCAAAAAAAGAAATGCGTATACGCCGCGTGGGTCGCGTGGGTGGAAAAGCTTTTACAACTCGGTTTAAATGCCAATTATTTATTACGCTCGGCAATTTAATGTTGGCGAATTTCGGCGTGCAACTCAATTTGGGCATTTCTCATTATTAGCTGCCACAAAGCAAATTTCAGCATGCAAATTTTGTGCGCCAAGGAAATGCCATCAGAGCTGCCTTAGAGTTTTCGGTAGGGCCTTCTGCCACTTCCCCGGGCGAAAATGCTTTTAAACTTTACAACTGGCAACAATTTTCGCCGAGCTCCTCTTTGGCCTTTCCACATTGTTTGTCATGTGAGTAATTTATGCGGCCCTCGTACACGCACTTCTCGCCCCGATCGCCCCTATATTGTATTCCACCCGATAGCTGCCGCCGTATGTTGGGCGTATTTTGATTAACCCCGGATCCGAACAGGCCGTCCATAAAGGTTGCACTCCCCGTGCACTCATAACAAAGTGCTACCTTGAACTTAACCCGTAATCAATGACGAGTACGGTTTACAAATCGATACGGGGAATACGAGTACATTCGTTACATATTGTTTGTATCCCTCGGCTTTTGTTGTGGGAACTCTCGCCTTTTCCCTGCATTATTGAGAGCTCCTCACAAATATTTAGCTGACCAAAACAGGTGTTCTTTAGCACATCGGTATCCGGCCGAAGGGGCAACTTGCCAAAAGTTCACACAATTTGTAGTCTCGCTCCGCTGGTGAATTAGTCTTGAGGCGAATGTATATTTTAATCGATTTGTTGCGTGCTGTGAATATTTCATACCAGGCAATTACCCCGAAAATCGACCCGAGGGAAGTAGCTTCTCTTTCCTCCAGCTTTTTGGGTGCGTGCCTCTCGGTCGGTCGAGCCATTAAAGTCAAAAATAATTTCAAATATTGATTAGCAACCAAATCGCGAGCGAATGTTGAATGCGTCAATGAGCTCGGCTTATGGCGGTTGATTGCTTGTTTAGCTGACTTTATAGTTTATCGGGCATTATGTCCGACAATGTCAGCACTTTGACTGTACATCTCTTCATTCATTCCCCGATATTGCCGATTCGCATGCCAATTTCATTCATAGATTCGCCCGACAAACGCACACTTACAATATAAGCGACCGCAATTAATTACGGCAATTAAATTGCAATGTGCAACTGCAGCTGAATACCAAGTGGGCAGGAATATGGCTTCCCTCTCTCGCCAACTCAGAAATTCACCGCACACATTATGGTGGTATTATGTTCCCACAGGCATTTAATTTTCCATTATTGGCGCAGGTCAGCAGCGGATAAGACTTTAAGGTGGCTTATGTTGTCTTACAAAACAATTAAGCAAATATGCCAGTGGCGTTGTGGTGAATCCTCCATTATATTCGGTATCTTCTTCCCCTTCCTTTGTTCAAATCTGTCTCTAATTGCCCTATTTTTGTATTTATGGTTAAAGGCGAATTATTTTTTCTTTGTAACGGTTTACTTTACTTTTACCGCTCATTAAAGACCAAAGTTGTTTGGTTTATTACAACATTTGTGGGCAATAACCCACATAATTAGTTTAATTTCCTATTTAAAGGTTCAAATTAAAGTTTTTGTACAGCTTAAGTTTGAATTTCTAAAACTTTCATTCATTTCTAAGCAGTTTCAGTCTGGGCTTGTTCCGTAAATAGAATAATGCCTTGTGGCCATTTGCAAGCCACGCACATTGGTTTTGTTTTGTTTTTTTGTTGTTCGACCACTTCATTCATTCTAAGCCTATTTATACACCCTCCCTTTATAAATTAATTAGGCACGCGAGCACAGGTTGTGGCGGCAATTAGGCCAGCAGTCAAACGGTTTTTGATAAGACCCTCGTTTTTTTTCGCTTTGTATTTTCGTTTGCAGGTGGTGAACAAGGATACACACCCATCTCAAAAGTACCGCCATGAATGAGACAGAGTGCGAGGATCTCATCAAATCTGTGAAATGGACGGAACCAGCCAACCTGATCTCCCTGGCCGTACTCGAGTTCATCAACGTTCTGGTCATCGGTGGCAACTGCCTCGTGATTGCCGCCGTCTTCTGTTCGAATAAGCTGCGCAGCGTCACCAACTTCTTCATCGTCAACCTGGCCGTGGCCGACCTCCTTGTCGGCCTGGCGGTGCTGCCCTTCTCCGCCACCTGGGAGGTCTTCAAGGTGAGTAATGATTTTCGGGAACTATCCTTAAAGTGCCAGCTATTCGGTTAGTTAGATTTGTGCGAGGTGCTTCAGGAATCTGTTCTTTCCTTTTTTCTACCAAAATTATTCATTATTGGCATGGTTCTTATTAAGTTTAAACAGGTTTTTGAAGTGTTTATAGTGTCATTAATAAAATATAGTCTTATTTGGGACATTTTGAAATGTACGAAGAATTTTTATGTTATATTTCTGTTTGACTTCTTAAATAACTAAAAATTTTGAAAGTTAAATGTGCCTACCGGATGGCTAATATTTTATTATCACTCCATGAAATATGATTCCCAGAAATTAGTGAATTCGCTCTTTAAATTCTTTGCTAAACTTAAGAAATGAACATAATTATAGCAAACATTTTGGAACAAGCCAACCTTTAAATTATTTTAAAATCTTTACAATAAAATAAATTTTCCGAACATTTTTGGATAAATTGTTTTTAAAATATTAAACTTTGTTTTTAAATACGTATCCATTGTATATTTCTATCCCATTCTGACAAATACTCGTTATTATCCCGTCGTAGGTGTGGATATTCGGCGATCTGTGGTGCCGCATCTGGCTGGCGGTGGACGTGTGGATGTGCACGGCGTCGATCCTGAACCTGTGTGCCATATCCCTGGACCGCTACGTGGCGGTCACGCGACCCGTCACCTACCCGAGCATCATGTCCACGAAGAAGGCCAAGTCCCTAATCGCCGGCATTTGGGTACTCTCATTTTTTATCTGCTTTCCGCCGCTAGTCGGCTGGAAGGATCAAAAGGTGAGTCAGTCCGTTACGCAAGTCCAATCTTGACCCGCCAGTGACCCGATGCGATAAATTAACGAAGCGAACGCGGTTTGTCTCTGCCAAATTGCCAAACGGCAAACGAACAGCCAACTGCAAACGAAGGGCCGTCGAAATTGAAAGTCGGTAAACTGTTTTTAGCACGCTCAGGCCGCATGAAACGCTATCGAGAACAAAGCCAGTCGACTGCCAAAAGTTGCCTTTTTCGGGGCTCCACCAAAAGCTGAGGGCCATTCTGTCATTGACACCGTTTTTGGGCCCGACAGAGGTTGGCCAACCGCAACGCAATGGCAACGACTACGGCTCGTGCCGAAGACTGCAATCCGGCTCATTTGTGCCAAAATTACCGTAAAACAAGAAAGGAAGCTAGCTTCGGCAAGCCGAAGCTTATATACCCTTGCAGTCATTAAATATTTCAAACAGAATACACAAAGCCTAAACAACATCGAAGCAACGACAACTTTTCTATTAATTTTTCATATTTTTGAATATTGTTCATATGTCAGCTATATGATATAGTCGTCCGATTTTGCTGAAATTTTATTTCTTATTCAAGAGTCGTTAGAAAACTCTATATTCCAAAAATCATGATTTTCTGATGAGAAATAAGGATATTATCATTTTATTTCCGTTAATTCTATATAGATTTTTCGATCTTTCCTATAGCAGCTATATGATATTTTTTTTTACATTCTGTTACTCCACCCGGGAGCTTAGAGCCTCTACAATTTCTTGTAGAAGATTCGTTATCATTGATTTTCGATCGTACCGGTGATAAGCCAGTAGCGACTTATCCTAGCGGTGGGGTTGCCACCTGGCGCCATCTAGGAGTGACGAAAATGCTATTGATGGGTCCATATTAACGTGGACGAGGGGGTGTGCGGGTCCGGGGAGCCGAAATTTGTTACTAATGTTAAGTGAGCGATAGAGCATAGAAGTGGTGGAGATTTGGAAAAAGAGACCGTTTCTTTTTTCTCGGGGAGCCTGGGGCGCGACTTGAACCCGGGCCTTCCGGACCGGAGGCCAGCGCTCTACCTGCTGGGCCACCGTCCCCCCTCAAATATATATGATATAGTTGTCCGATTTTTATGAAATTTTTTTTATGAACCAAGGCTAGTTAAAAAACTTGATACTCAAAAAATCATAGTCGTGTGATGCAAAACAATGACGTAATCAATTAATTTCCTTTAATTCTATATATATTTTTTGATCTCTCCTATGGCAGCTATATGATAGAGTTATCCGATTTCGATAAAATTTAACCCGAAACTCAATAGTAACTAGAAAACGCCATGTGGAAGAAATCAAGTCGATCCGATTAAAAACAACGGCGTTAGAATTTTGTATTTCAATCTCTTGTATGGGAGCTATCCTATATAGTCGCCCGATCCGGGCCGTTCCGACTTATATACTGCGTGCAATAACTACACACCTTTTGGGAAAGTTTCAGAAAGATAGCTTTAAAACTGAGAGACTAGTTTGGGCAGAAACGGACAGGAGGACAGACGGACAGACGGACAGACGGACAGACAGACAGACGGACAGACGGACAGACGGACAGACGGACAGACGTACAGACGTATTTCGATTCAGATGGTGATGCTGATCAAGAATATATATACTTTATGGGGTCTAAGGTGTCTCCTTCACTGCGTTGCAAACTTCTGGCCAAAATTATAATACCCTTTGCTCTGCAAGGGTATAACAACGACGTTATCAATTTATTTCCATAAATTCTATATATATTTTTCGATCTTTCCTATGGCAGCTATATGATATAGTTGTCCGATTTTTATGAAATTTTTTTCTCGATTCAAGGGTTATTAAAAAAGTCCATGTTTTAAAAATCATGCTCGTGGGATTAAAAACAACGAAGTTATCAATTAATTTCGATTAATTCTATATATATTTTTTTATCCTTCCTATGGCAGCTATATGATATAGTTATCCGATTTTGTTAAAATTTTATCCAAAATTCAATAGTGGTTAGAAAACACCATCTAGAAGAAATCAACTCGATCTGACCAAAAACAACGGGGTGGGCATTTTTTATTTAATTCTCTCGTATGGGAGCTATCCGATATAGTCGGCCGATCCGGCCCGTTCCGACTTATATACTGCGTGCAATAACTACACATCTTTTGGGAAAGTTTCAGCAAGATAGCTTTAAAACTGAGAGACTAGTTTAGGCAGAAACGGACAGGAGGACAGACGGACAGACGGACAGACGGACAGACGGACAGACAGACAGACGGACAGACGGACAGACGGACAGACGGACAGACGTACAGACGTATTTCGACTCAGATCGTGATGCTGATCAATAATATATATACTTTATGGGGTCTGAGGTGTCTCCTTCACTGCGTTGCAAACTTCTGGCCAAAATTATAATACCCTTTGCTCTGCAAGGGTATAACAAGACACGAGCTTCGTCCTTTTTTCGGGGAAAGGGAGTGAAGGACCCGTTTCTAATTTCCCCCCTTCCGACGTCTGGCATTATTCTTACGCAACGACACTGATAATGATGTGCTACACATGCCGCAATAAGGCTGGCAAAAAAGCGGGGAGCACAATTTATGGGCACCCCTGTCAGCGGGTAATCATATCAGTTGTGAGGCGGTAGTCTGTAGTCGGGATACACGGGTACCATCCCTTTGGCCCAGCGCCAGTTTGGCAGTTTATGGCCTTTATGGCTTTTGGTTATGTTTGCCCCGCCAGACATATCAATCCCGTGTTTTCCTCGAGGTGCCAACGGCTATACAGCCCCATGGCTCCATTCCTCCACACACACGAAAATGTATCTCTGCAAGGACACTCACTCATCCTCCGGCATTCCGGGCAACTCAATTCAATTCAATGCGATGCGATTCGATTCAAACAGAACTGCAGCGGCCGAGTGCAGTTGAATGGGCCACGTTTGAATGGACGGATGGCATTCAGGCCGGTTAGCGAGTCGAGGCTGTTGCCATCGATTATTGTGCCGCTCGATTCAATTTCGAGTCGGCAGGAAGCCAGGTTTTGGTTTGGGTAACATGTTCTCACACACATACACTCACACACAGAATTCGCGGCATTTATTTTGGCCCGGCTGTTGGCTGTTGGCTTTTTGTTAACGCCACCTTTCGCTGCGAACCATATTTATGCGCAACACGTCGGCGAATATCTCCGGCAATATAACCCGCTTTAAGTTGCATTTTTATTGGCTTCTTAGCGCAGTGAAGAGGGTGCCCAGAACGCGTCTGGAATTTTAATGGGGTCCTGCGAATATCAAGTGTCATTCCATGATGATCCCTTATGTGTACTATACAACCCGCTATCATATTCCATTTCAGGCGGTGATACAGCCGACCTATCCAAAGGGAAACCATACGCTTTACTACACCACCACGATGTCAAGCTCGGAGGATGGTCATCTAGGGTTAGGTAGCATTAAGGAACAGGACGAGGACTCCTCGCAGCCGCCGCCTCCTCCTCACATCGGCAATGGCAATGCCTACAATCCCTACGATCCCGATTTCGCCCCCATCGATGGATCTGCGGAGATTCGCATTGCGGCCATTGGTTCAACGAGTACGACAAGTACCACAACCATCTCGAGCACCACGGAACCGGAAATGGATCTTGATCTGCTAAATGCTCCACCGCAAAACAGGCCGCAAACCATTTCCGGCAGCTGTCCGTGGAAATGCGAGTTAACCAACGATCGGGGATATGTCTTATACTCCGCATTGGGATCCTTCTACATTCCCATGTTCGTGATGCTCTTCTTCTACTGGCGAATCTATCGGGCCGCCGTTCGCACCACGAGGGCCATCAACCAGGGCTTCAAGACCACCAAGGGTAAGTCAAGGCCATTGCGAACTAAGCCCACAACCACCCACTCATTTGGACACGATTTGTTTTGAACCTCGTCACCCACAATTTGTCCTAACGTGTGCGTAGCTAACAGTTTGGTTTTGATACTCATCTCTCTCTCTATATATATTATATATACATATATATTAGTTCGATTTACCAAGTAAGTAACGTACTCACGTAGCTAGTTCATTTTATTCAAGCTTAATATCGATTGCTAAACAGTTTCAAATCTCTCGACGTGTAGTCAATAGTGTGACGTCCCGTTTGTCCCGTTTTGTTTTGGTTACCCTACCGAAAAGTGTACAGACTCACACCGAACATTCCACCCACAAACCACCACCCACTCGACCTTGTCCTCCTCCCACTCGCCAAAAAAAGAAAAAACATAAATTGTCGGGGAAGTAAATAACAATTCGTGCTGGCAAACATGAGGAGCTGCATAAATCGACGGCGGCAAAAAGAAAGACAACTAAATTTACATTCATAAATAACTACTCGCACACACATTCACACACACACTCACACATGTAAACATATGTAAAATTATTGTCGGCATTTTGTTTTTGTGTTTCGCACATAAATAAACATGATAAATAACCTGGAAATGAGTAATCTATAAATATACATACTATATGCATATAAACTTAGTAAAGGCCCCACGAAGTTAACCCTTTACAACCAACTGGAAATAAAGCTCCGACTTTTATAAAAGCGGGCATAAAAAACTCTGTAAAATACGGATTAATAAAGTCCTTGTAATCTAAATCCCCTTAATATTATTCAAATGAATGTCACAATAAATTAGCATCGGCAAGTCCTTACTCATAAATATTAATTAGTCTAGTGTACCCATTTAAGTTAACACATACTGAGGCGTTTGCTTAACAAATGCTGCGATTTAAATTGTGAATAACCTGGTATGACCCTGAACTTCCCAATTGGATTTCCCAATTTCCGAAAATATAAATAATATAAATTCTCCTTTAAGAGTTCAATCATCCCCCAAGCCCCGGAATCAACAACCTGCACATGTTCATTTTAAATTATCGCAGCATCGTATCAATCACTTGCTCAAAGGAGAAGTCACGCGTCATAATTAGCATTATATTCTGTGATGGGAAAAAAAGAAAATCGATGAGCGCTGAGGGAGCACATCAAACAAATCGGCTTAGATAAAAAGGCGGTCGGGATTAAATGAGAGTCAGATTCAGCCATTAGAGTGAGTCGGAAAATTGCAGACATGAAAGCAAACCAGCGGCTAAGACAAAAAGGGAATATGACTTCCCTGTTTAGCTCTATTTGCTGTCTGTGCGAAATTTTCTTGTTCTTAGGCCGTGTCATTTGAGGCCTGGCTGCTTCCCAACTTACCAATTTTCCAAGTTCCTAAGTCGTTGTGGTGGCGATAATGCCCGGGAACGAATTCCGTTTGAAGTCGAGGAGGCATTGAGTGTTTATTTTAATATGTGGCACATTTCATGCACATTACTCGGCCAGGGACTCAGCGCACTTTCTTCCGCGTGATCAGCTCATTGGGCACACCGCTCGGCTATATCCATTTAGCCAGCCATATCTGTATCTATAACCGAGGCCAGGCGCACGCATTCAGCGATAATCTGCAGTGGCAACTAACCCAACCCAACCCAAAACCAACCGACGACGAACTGACTTGCCGGATGACCGACTGACTTCGCCGGGAAAATCAATAGTCAACGAACGAACCTTGTGCCTTGTGCTGGAAATCAATGTTCTGACTAATAAATTGGGCCACAAATCCTGCTCCCTGGGATGTATGCTACGAAAATTGCATTTTAAAACTGATTGCATACTTTGGGGCAGTCACCGCCGCCATATTGAAGTGAAGTCGATTCGAAAAATGGTTGCAGGAAGTGCATTTAGGGGCATCGCAGCTTGAGTCCCCTGCCGCTTTTCCCACATTCCGGATTCGTTGCCTTGGCAGTTGTTTTTGTTTTCCACTGTCGTGTCGTTAGTTGGCGCCATTTTGAGCACAAAGCTCAGATTTGCCAGGAGCTCACACCACACACACACACAAACGGCTACCCACGCTCACCAACCAACCAACCAACTAACACAGGCGAAAGTCAGCGTGTGGCAGCCTTGAAATATGCTTTGTCTGCTCGCACAAACACACGCATACACCCGCGGACAGCTGAGGAGAGCTGTTTGCCACACACACACACACACCGACACTCACACACCCACAAGCGGGACAGCTCGTTATAGTTATCCTCAGACAAGGTGGTGCTCAAAAAAATAGTAGTGGTTAAAAATGAAATATTTTTGGTTATTGATTTTTATTGCTTGTTAACCTTTAATAAATACCTAAGACATTATTACAAATAATTTGATAAGACTTTGATTACTTTGATTATATTTTAATTATATTTAACTTGTTTTATTTTTAACTATACGCTGAAATTCTTTAAAAGCAGGTTTAGTTAGTGAAAGAAAAGACCATAAAATCATTTGATTTTACAATTAGTTTAAGAAGCGAAGAACATCTAAAGCAAGAAATCAGATCAGTTTTATTTCCTTAAGTAAATCTATTAATCACAACAAAATTGGTTTAACTTAAAGAAGCACAAAAAATTCTAAAGCAGGAAATCAGATCAGTTTTATTTCCATAAGTAATTCTATTAATCACAACAAAATTGATTTCTTTTGTTTTTAAATTATTTTATATATTATATATATGTTTTTATATTAATTATTTTGCATTTAATATTGAACCAGACAGTAAATCTTGCTTTAAAGTAGTTAAAACCGTAATTTCCGGCAACATTTCTCTATGATTTTTAATTAAAAGTAAAGTAATTATAGGATCATATTTTTTTTTGAGAATGTTCCAAGTAACATTACAATTATTTTGAACAGTATCCACACGAACAAGCTCTCCTTGGGTGTGCGTGCAAACAGGCTGAAATCGCTCCGTGACACAATGCGGGTGGCGCTGATGCTTTTTGCCAGCGCTTCCTTTATTTTTCGGGGGCAGGTCCGTCCGCCAGGCCAGGCCAGGCAACCCACGCGCCTTTTTAGTGGCTTTTGAAGGTAATCAAGTTTCAAGTTCAGAACTTGGCGAGGTTCACGGCGCCGACCACCACTGGGGTTCGCTGTTATTGTTAGGCTTTAGAAATTTCAGAAGTGTAACCCTGGCCCTGTGTCAAGAGCAGAGCTGAACGGAACGGAACGGAAGGATCCAAAACAACTTTCAAGCGAGATGCCTGCGGCAGTCGGCAGTAGGCAGCTCGAGTCCTGACTTGCCTTGACTTGCAGCCACTTGTCTCCTGTCCCGACCAGGCCAACGTCCAAAGGTCAAAAGCTGGCGACAAAACTACACACTACACATTCGAGCTTGTGGCTCGCATGCATGTCCGCCAACAATAACTACGAATCCATCTGACTAATTACCCCGCGACATTCAGACGAATGCTGTTTAATTATTATTAAATGCCATTCAATTAAAGGCCTCACAAAGCGCCCACAAAAATGTGGCGGGTGAATTGTAGAGGCCGAATTAATGGATGAAAAGCGACAGCGACAAACATTTCTCAGTGGAATGGAAATTGTAAAGTGCGCTCAGGCGTTTCCCTGTGCATTTATGTGCAGGGATTATCCTTCGAGGCAGACAAAAGTTATACATTTATTTAAATCAACAACGCCGCAGGATGCGAAACAGCTCGGAGGTCCTGGACACAGGACACAGGGAAAATGTAAGGCTTTCGCCGGGATTGCGCCTTCATATCTCGGCATATTTACATACATTAGGATATTTTTCCCTTATATATTTGTATACAAATTGTTTGTTTAACTTTCATTTTTCTGGGAGGCATAAGAGGCAAAAAATCGATAGTGTATCCTTTTTTATTTACTGGATCCTGCATATGTTGGGCTTCTTGTTTGTACACATTTTCCTTTCACCCACTTCGGTTATTCATAGGCGAAGCATATTTGTTCTCGATAGGTTTAATATGGTTTATGCAAATGAAAGTGCGGCATGCTTCGCTTTAAATTAAGATAACTCCGAGTGATACTGTGTTGACTCAACATGGATACACATCTCAGCCGCCGCCAATATTTATTCAGCTCACAACTCCTAAATGATTGCTGTCTGTGGGCCTATAATAACCAGCAGACAATAAATATAGACGGCTGCAATTCGGTTAATTACTTAAGCCAATTCTGGAAAATATGGCTAAAATCGATGGGGACAATTCATTTGAGTGCTCTCCTCTGACGTCTTTGGTTCACATTATTATCATGGAGTACATTTAGCATTTCGATTCCATTTCCCAACCCTTCCGACCTCCGACCTTCTCCTCGTAGACCAATAAATAAAATTAGGCCAATAAAACCATGCCAGCGGGTGAGCAAACCCAAGCGATGAAGCAACAACAACTAAACCCAAATAAATTAACCAACTTGTTTATAACAATTAATTACCGACCATATTTTACATTTATAAATTATGTGATCAGTATCCATAAAACCCAAGTCCCCTGTTCAAGAAATGCCTTTTCCTAGTTTTAGTCAACCGAAAAAAAAGAAAACAAAACAACAAAGAACATTTATTAAACTACAATGTTTGTACGTTTTTTATTGTACTAGATTTTTATAATGGAATGAGCCCCTTTTCTCTCTATAAACAATACGTTTGTATTTACAAAAGTAGATCAGCATTTTATTACACTCAATTACTCGTGAGTTTGTTCCACCATTAAACCTCTCTAAATGTAACAGTTCGTAGTTAGTTAACCGCTCTCTGTGAATTGTCAACCGATTTTTACCTTACTCAAGGAGAAATGTATCGTGCATCTACTCAAGCGAATGTATCTAACTCTCGATCACCTCAAACAACAGCCAACAGCAGTTCGTCCATTTAACCACATGTCCATGTACAATACAAACTGAATGTCCTACATCCACGTACCACATAAACTCGTACACACCCCAGAAAATTAAAAGCCACAAGTCCACCGAAATTAATCCATCACAAGGTGAACGCGAAGCAAACTCCGCCCAATTGCTCCACTCACTAATTGCAGGCAGTCCCCGCGAGTCGGGCAACAATCGGGTGGACGAGTCCCAGCTGATACTGCGCATCCATCGAGGACGACCCTGCACCACGCCACAAAGGACTCCGCTATCCGTTCACTCGATGTCCTCGACGCTCAGCGTGAATAGCAACGGAGGCGGAGGCGCCACGGGATTGGGTGCCTCGGCGGAGGATCACCTGCAGGGTGGCACTCCCAAGCGGGCCACCTCCATGAGGGTTTGCCGCCAGCGGCACGAGAAGGTGGCCATCAAGGTGTCCTTTCCCTCCTCCGAGAATGTCCTCGATGCAGGACAACAGCCTCCGCCGTCGCCACATTATGCTGTTATCAGCAGCGCCAACGGAAGACGTGCCTCCTTCAAGACGAGCCTGTTCGACATTGGCGAGACCACCTTCAATCTGGATTCGGCGGCACCAGCCGGGGACTTGGAGAGCGGCCTCTCAACCACCTCGCTTTCGGCCAAGAAGAGAGCTGGAAAGCGGAGTGCCAAGTTCCAGGTGAAACGCTTCCGGATGGAAACCAAGGCGGCCAAAACACTGGCCATCATCGTGGGCGGCTTCATCGTCTGCTGGCTGCCCTTCTTCACGATGTACTTGATACGGGCCTTCTGCGACCACTGCATCCAGCCGACGGTCTTCTCGGTGCTCTTCTGGCTGGGCTACTGCAACTCGGCCATCAACCCGATGATCTACGCACTGTTCTCCAACGAGTTCCGGATCGCCTTCAAGCGGATCGTCTGCCGATGCGTTTGCACGCGCAGTGGCTTCCGGGCCTCCGAGAATTTCCAGATGATTGCGGCCAGGGCTCTGATGGCACCGGCCACGTTCCACAAGACCATTTCCGGATGCTCGGACGACGGGGACGGGGTGGACTTCAGCTGACTAATCGGAAGCTACAAGCAGAGTCCGCTGCAGCGGAGCGCCTCGTTGCCGCAGGAGGCGGAGTGCTCGACTTCCGTTTCCGGTTCCGTTTCCGGATCGAGTCGAAGGATCCGGCGAGGGGGATTCTGCAAGGGACGCGTCCTCTAATGCATTTCGCTCTTTTGATACGTTTTTATAAGCTCCGCCAGACGTCGGACGCCAGACGCCAGACGATTCCACACGCAATCCCAAGTTCTCAAAAACTGTCAGTATTCGCATTGAACGACGTTGTAACTGTATGGCAATAATTTTCGTGTATTTACCTAGAGCTAAGGCTATATGTTAACTTACCTATATGTACTTACCACATGAGATACAGATACACCACTATGAGATACAGATACACCTGTTAGACGTAAGCATCCCATTGTTTTCAGTTACGTTACGTTGTGTACATCTTTTAGGCGCCGAGGAGAACAACTCACACGCATTAGTTAATCTGATTATATATTGAATGTATATGTATGTGTGTATAGCAGCTGTGTAAGTCGGCTGCGTTTCCAATAAAAATCAAAACGAACAAAACCGAAAACCAATCAAACAAAGCACAAAAGCCAAAAACAAGTGCCGACCACGATAAGAGAAATTGGCAAATACCGGACAACTGGAAGCCAGCATTCCGTGACATCAAACAAGAATCACAAACACGGATAACTATACCGACTTTATATACCTTTTCAGTTGCTAAATCTGTGCATTTGGGGTGAAGGGGGCTACCTTTTATTCAACGTGATTTAATAATTTTAAACCATTCGAAAAAACAACTCCAACAACTGTTTGGCCTTTCTAGTTAGGCAGTAAAAACTTTGAGAAATTATAAGGTCAAAGTTTTGAGAAAAAAGATACCAAAAGAAATTAAGTAGCACACATAGTCATTTAGTGTTATTGGAACTCTTTTTAAAAAAATATTTTAACGTTTTTAAGAGCGAACAGGTTTTCAAAAATGAAGTTTTCTTTTTATAAAGAATCTGCAGTCATAAATTGTGCAATCAGGAAAGAATACTAAATGATTTCCTGAAACTTTAGGAACTCTAGAATGCCTCATTGAAATTTGTTGATTTATAACTTCTTATAAGTTTTCCTCTTAAAAGTTAAAGACTTTTGGGTGAGTCACAAATCAACATAAAAATAGCTCTCTTTTTAGTTTAGAAACCAATTATTTTTGGACGTGCTCTTAAGTTGCGACCCCAAACTCTAACGGATAGCAACTCCATTGTTAGATGTTCGGATCCCTTCCTAATGGCAATCCAATTGAATAGGACTCCTAAAAGCACTCCCCCTTATGGGAGATGTCCTTGAACCACAAGGCCTGCTCCCCAGCCACAAGAACCTGGCTTAAAGCTTGTCCTTTGACAATAAGCCAGCTCGTAATGCGGCCAAGAGCGTAGGAGGAGCAACAGTGGCCGTAATGGCTCGAGTAAAATATTGCATTATTGCGCCGATTATTCATTACTCGTCGCGGGTCGAGTAATGAAAATGTATTCAGCAGTTAAACGTGCGTATGAGTAATAAATGCAGAGCGCAGGCAGCCGCCATATGCGCAGCAAGTGCGAGAGCGAGACGGCAATAGAGAGAGCGGGGATTATGCAAATGTGTGTGTTAATGAAATAAAGTTCGCTTTGAAGGCGGCTTAAAGGCGACTCTGCTTCTTGGGAAAAGTGAAGGGGGGAGGAGAGAGAGGAAAAGGGAGAGGAGAAGAAGGGAAGAGGGGAAAAACACCGAAACGAGGACTACGACAACGTCGAGTGCTTGTCGCGTTTATGGCGCAACATTTGCATAATTACGCGTTTAATTTGCTAAAGTGCAGGCAGGCTGGCAAGCTGCTGAGTTGGCTCTTTGCCATCGTTCCGAGAGCCGTGAAGTAGGCAACGAAAAGCGAGTGCGTGCAGCAGGGCGTATGAGCGATATTCAATAGGAGGTGGAAAGGAAAAAAAAGAGAGAGAGATAGAGAGAAAGAGAGAAAGGGAGAGATAGAAAGATGTAGTAAAGGAATAACCAACATGTTTTACCTTTTGTACTGATGTTCTTTACTTGCACCTTCCCCCTTTTTTAACCAGGTTCCAAGGGCATCGGCTCGCGATTCGAGGAGCAGCGTTTGACCCTTCGCATCCACCGGGGAAGAGGCTCCAACCAGCAGGACTCGATGCACAGCAACGGCAGCACCCAGAGCACCACCACCACCCTGGGAACACCCTCCCCTGAAAGGCTTTCCAAGTACGCCACACGAAGGTTGCACCACCACGACAAGATCAAGATCTCCGTTTCGTATCCCTCTTCCGAAAATATCAGCGAGTTGGCAGGAGGGCACGGGGACTCTGGTCACGAGAGGCGTCCATCGGGAAACGCCCTCTTTGCCGTTCACTACAATGGAGCCAACGGGAGGGAGTCCACAGAATCGCAGCTCTACAGGCAGCAGCAGCACAGCTCCTGTTACCTGCAGGTGGGCAAGGGTCTACCAGAGCTTTCCAGGCGGCAGAGCAACACCAGCGAAGCCGGAGGATCCGGCCACTCTCGTCCTGCCAACAAGAAGATGGGCAGAAGGAACATCAAGGCGCAGGTGAAACGCTTCCGCATGGAAACCAAGGCAGCCAAAACGCTGGCCATCATCGTGGGCATGTTCATCTTCTGCTGGTGTCCCTTCTTCACCATGTACATCATCCGGCCATTTTGCCAGGACTGCGTGGATCCCCTGCTTTTCTCGGTGCTCTTTTGGCTCGGCTACTGCAATTCGGCGGTGAATCCGATGATCTATGCGCTGTTCTCCAAGGACTTCCGCTTCGCCTTCAAGAGGATCATCTGCAGGTGCTTCTGTTCGCGGCAATCCGTTTCGCTGAAGAGTTCCCGAAGAGGTTCGGATATGTCGGCCATTAGGATCAGGGCCAGGACGCCCAGCATCACGCCCAGTGCGGCGGCCCACAGCTTCGGGGACGAGAGCGAGCTGCACCACTCGGAGATGAGCAACGATCCCAGGTGACGATCATTCGGGCCCAGCTCGAGCTCGCAGAGCAGCTTGGGCGGGTTGCGCAAGACGAGCTTGAAGGTGCCCGTCTACGAGATCTGCCATCCGCTGGTGATGGAGACCGCTTGCTACTCGTACGTGGAGGCCACCAGCGAGGGCACCGCCTCCTGTTCCGTGGCAGGTGGAGGAGCTGGAGGTGGGGTGGGAGTAGGAGGAGGAGGAGGCGTTGGAGGAGGGGGAAAGCGGACGCAGTTGTAGCCGCGGGAGTTGATGGCGCTGCGCGGAATGGGATCGGGGGCAATTCCTTTACCAGGTCAGCGGCCGAGGAGAGTGGTTCGCATCGAGTACAGTGATGCCAAGGTATAGAGTTCAGCGAAAAGGATAACTACACTGAGGGAAATTGAGTGAGGAGAAGGGAGGAGAAATCCACAAAAAGTTAACAGATTTGAAAAGCACAAATTTATTTGAATTAGAAGGTTTTCAAGTTATACAGTAAGTTCAGTAGGTTTTTTTTTAATGAGTGATTAGAGCGAATGCCAAATGATTTTTTCAAACTAGCTAGAAATTAAAATATTTTCTTCCACTCCGATATCTTAATTTTTAAAGCGGTTAAATATTTTAAAAATATTTGATTTTTCTATCACAGCCTTTTTCAGTTTAAACTTTGTTATTTGAATAATCAATCATATTTAAATGCTATCCCTTAAGTTTAAATCCAGTGCCATTTTAATTTAGATATCGTAAATAAATCGACCTTTTTTATTTGTTCTTTTTCCTTGCCAGGTTTGATAAATATCATAAACTATGTTCCCTAAACAACCTTTTCCTTAGTGTAGAACTCGTCCATTAAAGCTGAGCCGACAGCGGCAGCCCAAAAAAATCCTTTGAGATGGTTTTAAGGATTCGGTTTTGCAGACTTGGCCTTGCTTTGAGCAACAGCCTTTGGAAGCCAGCCATTGTACGTTGTACATTGTATATAGACATCGGGCGACAGAGCCCACATCGATTTAAGAGATACTCGTATGTGTATATATAGTATATATAGTCTAGCTAGGATATCACTGGCACTTGAGAGTTTTACCTTTTGACTTCCGCATGAATATCGATTATCTGGTTGTTACCCTAAGCAGAAACCAAATTGTTGCTAAACGCAAATAAAACGTTACCCAGTGCTAAACCAACTTAGTAACTAGTAAGGTGTTAATGTTGTACTCTCGCCTCGAGGAGATTATTCTGAGATATATATCTGTGTCATGCATACATGTTAAACGCAATAAACGAACCCCTGCCTATGAATCCAAAGTACGCATATGGGCATATGCATATACTATACCAATATACGATCCTCAAGTTAAACGTTTTGTGTGCTACAAATAAAGGAAGTTTCATTTATTCGGCAACTTAAAGTGCGACTTGAGTCTCACGACTCTTGAGTTTTCCTGGGAAAGGGGGAAAGGGAAGGGGTTTTGCTGGGCTAAACGGACAGTGGGGTTTTAATTAAGCGGAAGTACTCGGAACGCGGCGCTACAAAGTCGTGGCCCAAAACAAAGGGGCAGAAGGTGAGTGCGATAAAAGAGTTGCAGCATAAAGAAATTGCCGAGCAGCGGCGGCTACAAAGGCCAAATTAAAAGCTGGAATGCCCGGGGCACTTCCGCTAACTGAATTAAAGGCCGAAGTGAGTACAGTGCGGAACATGGCTGAATGGCGCCCTTAAAGTATGCATAGCCAACACTTTTCGCTGCGAACGCATTCCCTTTGATTGCTCCCTCATGCGGCCACATAAAATAGACAACAGCAAATGAGTTGGCCCACTAATTTATGCCCAGAACGCAGAAAGCAGAACGCAGATTCTCACTAACAACCAAGCAACTTTGTGGAGGACCTCCCCGCGAAATCCAATTTATTTGCTTCACTTTCCGCTGCGAGAAAGCGTTTTATTTGATGGAAATCAATTGATAAAACACATTAACTCGGAGCTAAAGTTTCAGGGCCCACTCCCTTATTTCCTGGGGAGTCCATAAAACCGGAAAGCAGATACAGTCTACTCTTTCCAAACTCGGAGACAACACCCAAAGTTTGGCTATTAACCTGGCCAAGATAGGCCAAGATCCTTAGAGATTCCTTTTGCCGGTTTAATTAATCAAATTGAATTTAATTTCCGTTGGCTTTTTCACCTGTGTTTTGCCCTTAAGGAGGCCAAGTGAAAACAATTTGGGCATGCACCCCGGAATCCAGCCAATTGGCCAAAGTTCGCCATGAAATATACATGTATACATGGCTAATTTGCATAAATATGGCAAAAAGTTAAGGGCCCAGCAGCGAGGTAGTTGATAATTGGGCTAGCAAATGGTAGAACGAACCAGGTAGATGGCATAAATTACAAAACTTTCTGATTTCATTATGTAAACCACACGTAAACAGAAGACAAACAACTGTTTGGACTCCTTTAAATGTTGCTCCTCGATTGCCGCAAGCTCTTTGTTTTGGCCAAGGTAAAAGGCGACCAGGTTTTAACCTCTTACAGACACAACCAAACTTCAGTGAAGCGTGCTGTGAATGGTCGACTGACCGTCTGACCAGCTGTCTGAGTGCTTTTGGCTTTGGATCTTTGTTTGCACTCTAAGGTGCAGATGGATAGACACGCCGACCAGTAGATACAGATACATATACAGGTGCAGGTACACAGATACAGATACAGAAGATACAGAACGGTGATGAAGGCAGGCAAATACCTAGCGCTCTGCGGCAATCGATAGAGCAAACATTCCAGCAGCAAACAAGAAAAACTCCAGCGGGAAAAGCGGGAAAAGCGGGGGCACTTTAAAGGAATGTCCAAAGCACACGAGTCAAGAGATTTCAGGGCTTAATCGATTTGATTTGATTGCGTTGGACGCTTTTAAGCGTGAGTGCGAAACCTCTACACATTCCCAAATAGGTCCTACAAAATAAAAAGTTCCGGAACAATTTACACTCTTTAAATGGGTTACAACGCAGCAAAATATTTAAATCACTCTTACTAAAAATTTCTCCATTTATTAAGCAACAATAACTTAAACTATGAATACTTTATTAAGTGTTTTCCACTCCTTTTCAAATTAAAATGCATATCATATATCATTGAATATTTTTAAAGTAAACGAAATTCACTCTAAAAGTTTTTGTTAAAAGACCTGTAACTATTGAAACCTCAATAGTTTTTTAAATAAAAACTCAAGCTTAAAAGTAAGAGGGCATTAAAAAAAAACGAATGTTTTTCTTTGAGTTTGCCAAGTTTGTGCTGCCCCTCGGGCAACTTTTATTTTGCATCAACCACTGTCGACAACAAAAACAGCCAGGGGCAAAAACAAATAAGTCAGCTTGCAAAACTATAAAGCGGATTGACAAATGGAGCGGAAATAAAATGTAAGTTCGAGTGTTTCCCCGATCAGGGCGGCAACTACGAGGAGACATGGCCATGTGAAGGCAGGAAAGCGGCCAAGAAACACAGTTGGCCAGGAAAAGGGAATCGCAGAAGCAAAGACAGCTTAGCGGGCTGCAAACTCAGCGAACTGTTTACACACTCTTACGGGCCAAAAGTTTCCCATTTGACCGGTCGAGAAATGTATCGAACATTGTTATCTGGGCTCTCGGTTCTCAGTTCTCAGTTCTCGGTTCTCGGTTCTGGGCTTTAAGCCGTCTTGTCAAGTGCAAAAGTTTGACAAGTTGTTAGTTAACATTTTACGATAACTCGAAAAAGTTCCAAATTGCTGAAATAACAGGGATAAACGAAACGAAACGAAATGAATCGAATCGAATTGCTTTAAACTTCCCGCAGAACATTACTAATGCATAAGGAAATGTTTGGCTAAAACTCTATTCGATCAGCCCAACCCTTGTCAATCCATTGCCTCTTTCTTGGCCATACTTAATTGAGGGCAGTCTGCTATTCTTGTGTGGTTCCCAAACAAACCGAGTGGTGACAATTTGCGCAACGCGTTAATTCCATTAATTTACGCCTAATTGTTATGGCCGCCTGAAGTGCAATCAACGGACAGGCCCGATGGGCAAGTGTTTTGTGCCCAAAAAAAAAAATATTTTATATATACAATACCCAGCACGCACACGAGTCGAAAACAATTTTTGCAACCCACAGAAAGTCGGTGGAGAAGGCCCCTTGGGGAAAGAGTCCGGCGGTGACGCGTTTAACGAAGCCAGCCAGCCAGCCAGGCAGCCATCCAGCGAGTCCTGCCACTCGCAGGACCCTCGTGCGGTTGCCCGGCTGTCAGGCAAGTGCCACCAGTGCCACTGGCCTTCTGCCACCTGGCCAGCCATTTTGCAGTTCAATAACCCATTTCCTCTCCGACGACGATTGCCACCAGCAACAGCAAAAAACAGCGCTTGGAATTTCAAGTTGAAGCAGCCAATCCACAGAAATGGCAAACAATTTGCTTTTATGGCAAAACAAAAAACACAGAGAACACTGCGAGTACATCCTTGAGCCGGGACATTTTTTTTTTTTTTTTTTTTTTTTTGCTTTTCGGCTGCTCCTACTCAGTCCCTCGAAATACTCGAAGTCGATTTCCGCCTGGTATTTTCCGTTCGATTTTCCCCTTCTTCGCCTCCTTTGGATTTGTGTCACTTGATAAGCTGCTCAGTTATTGTTGCCGATAATTTGTTGACGGAAGCAGACGTTCGGCTCGATTCAATAACTTATTTGGCCCTATTCAATTATGATCCGTCAGAAGTCAGCCGAAGTAATCGCTGACTGGCACTACATTTCACACGGGGCTAATTCCATTTCGCAGATTAGATCATTGATTTGCCAGAATTTGCTGCTCTTCTGTCCAAGGAAAACTTCTTGGCTAAGTTGGTTTGGCTTAAACGCACAAAAATTAAATAGTGCCTGCGGCTATTTGTATATGGAAAAACTTGTAGCAGCAGAAATTAGCAGGAGAATATGAAAGGAAAAGAATACAAAAGTTTTCCTCATCCAATTAGCTAGGTGACCTCGAGCACTTTGTGTAAAGTTGAACTTAAGGAAAGGTCAGTCTCAAGCTTTATTTGTTTCTATATTTGAGGACCTAACAAAATGATACCGTAAATATTAAGTGTAATAGAGATATATTTTAAATCTCTTAATAAATTTTATCAAAAAAGATTTAACATAAACATTTCAATCGGATTTGGTGAAATAAATATGTAATTGCGCCATTTAGATGCATGGCTTTTGTGTGGCTTAAAAACCCTAGAGAGTTCCGCGAAAAACACGAACTTGATATTTCTGCAAACCCTGAAATACATTTGATAGATACTAAACAAATTCGAGGGATTTTTGCTTTTCCAGGAAGTTAGAAGCAGCAGGCCGCCATTAGATCTCATTTGGCAGACATTATACGGAAGTTTACTGCCGGGAAATGCACAAAGAGAACAATTTTCGAATGGACGCCCTGTCTATTGTTTGCCACTGTGTTTGCGATGCACAGATTTATGACCCGGCCATAAATCGCTTCTGGGAACGGGGGACACGCCGCTGTGGAAATGTCGAGAGCAGATGGACCTGGCCCACCTGTGCGCAGATTTCATGTTTTTATGACAGTATCCTCTGGGGGGCATTTAAATCTTGGGCGTGTGCCCACTCGCTTTTCATGAAATTCATTTATTCCTCGCCAAACTTTAATCCCATCGACTTTATTTAAAGCCAGCAATGGAGCGTAACAGATTGTGCGCTATATTAAGAAATATTTCAATGAAATCGCTTTTGGGCACGCCATTTATTTATTCTTTTCAGCTCGCCATCTATCAATCCCTTGGCTCTGCTCTCCTTAAATATTGCATCGAGTTCACATGACCTCACATCAATTTATTTTCATTCATTGAAAATGCTTCCCAATTTAAGGAAAACTTTGAATTTAAGGCGAACTTTGCTGGAAATGCTTTTGGATGTTTTAAATGTTTGTGGCTTAAATCGCACTGCAAAGTTGTCTGCAAATATCTCAATTATTTGTTCGTTGGGAGTGGGTTGTTTTCATTTCCAGCTCAGATCAAGCGGATCCCTGTCAGAAGTCGGTCAATCGTCTGGGCTGCAATATCCTTCCCACGCCCACGCACTTGCTTACCCGCCCACCCGTGGCCACTCGAGTGGTTTTTGAATGCGAAATGACTGCGCAACAATCTCCCGGGCTTTCCTAAATGTCAACCCCCAATTGGGCGGCAGAGTTTTTGCCACTGACAGCGCAAGATAAACAGAAGTCCTGCCGCTCGGTTAAGCGGCTACACAGCGGAAAAAAAAACCATAGAAAATTGGTAACTAATTCGGTATTTTCTTGTACTTAAAGGGTTCCCAATTATGGCATATTAGCAAGTCTAAAATTTCAATAGAACAAATCAAATGTTATCGTATAACACATGTTCTTTATTAAAGATAAAC